GAAAACAGGCTAAGAAAAGCTGTGCAGGATCAGATGAAGGACAAATTTAATCTGGCACTCTACTCCCTTTATGGCTATGAAAAGATTGTGAAAAATTGGCAAAAACACAAACCCACCTGGTACTGAGAATTCATTCATCCATATTAGCTCTGATATCAGAGGTAACTGAACCATAAAAACTAGTAGTCCAACAGTCTTTATCTCCTATAGATGTATTGATTTAATTTATAGTGCATTTTTTGGTTCAATCCTCTACTTAAAATTATCCATGTTGATGGTCATCACTGCATCTAATAGTTCCACTTGGCATAATCCTAAATCCTAGTCAGGACATTTAACTGCACAGAAACAGGCATGGCCTTATCTCTTTACTTGCCTAACTTACTTGAGTACCTCTTTAGCTTTGCTGCATAAAGGACAGAGTCTGAAAGGTAGGAAAGTAGGAGTGGACAGGAATAACAATGTTATTGTATAATTACACTATGTCCTAGTTAAATGCTTTAATTGATACTACTATACAGTTTTGAGATTGTTTTTTCTCTTTTTGATTGTTCCAGCTGCTCACATAGAATTTAAGGCCCCTCTCTTCTTGGTTATATATCATATCTGTCTTCCTGCATTTTACAAATTCACTGTGCCAATAATTTGGTTGGCCTGCAGAACTAAAAGTAAATAGAACTTGAATGCCACAGTTTATAAAACAATTTGAAAAATGGTAAACTGCAAAATGTTTGGGGGGGGAACCCAAGCACTTATTATCTTAAAACTAATACATTGATTCTTTGGATAATAATAATAATAATAATAATAATAATAATAATAATAATCTAATTTGTATAGTCTTCTGGGTTTTCTGAATACCCAAGACTAGATGTAGGTTACTGTAGTCTTTGAATTTTTGTTATGCCCTTAGCCCCAGGTTCTGTGAATTAAATTATTCATGAATGTACACTGGAGCATTAATCACTTGTAATGATTCATGAATGAGGTTATCTAAAAATGTTAAACCCTATGCTGTAATTATTCACACTGACAGTGTCTTGACATAAATCTGTTTGAAACTTTACAGTTGAACTGTGAAGCTAATTTATATAGAATTCTCTTTGAGAATTGTGTACTGAAAACAGTTGAGTTTACTGAGCTGTTCATTTTTTTCAGAGATATATGCTTTTGATGAAGTTATCACATAAACTAGAGTCATATTAACCCATCATAAACAAACAGAATCACCATGTTTTATATAAGTATTTTTACATTTTAAAGGAAAACATGCTACGTGACTCATCATTTAATGCAGTGTCAATTGCATCATATGCTGGTATAAATCATTTGTCCCAAAACTACTTTCAAGTGATATGGCAAAATTTCATTAGTTTTATTAGTTATTAGTCCAAATCATCTGGGTATGTTCTACTTCACTGGTGATATCACATGCAGTGATGTTAACTATAGATATTAACCAACTGCACTCTTAACTGATTGATCTGTAAAACGTATGCAAAAGGATATGAACTTTCCCAGTTACATGTCTTAATCTCAGTGAGATTAATAGAAGAGAGAATATTTTGTACATAAAATGAATGTGCCTCTGAAACATTTGTATGTTACATTCATAGCTTGTTTATAAGACATTAACATTTTAAAAGGCTATTAATTAGCAGTATGTTTTATACATAATGTAGTCTGAAAACCTTTCTCAAGTTGCAAATGCAGATATGCCTTAGGAAAAAGAGATCTGATAAATGCCAAAACAATAATGTCAATAATGAGAAGACTAGTTATATTATTATTAATCAATTCTAACAAAGTGACCCTTAAACTTGGGATTTGTCATTTAATACCATTATGAGCAAGACCCACAGAGCCCTGTAGAAGCATCATTTATAAATGAAAACTAGAAAGTAATTTCAGAGCTATAGAACATCTTTGGCAATGCAATTTGGCAGTCTAGCATATTGGTCAGGCAATGTCACTAGTTTCTTTAAAGTGTCAAATACATTGAGTTGAAAAGTTTTATTGCATTCTGTAAAGTTTAGGGACAGAATCATAATTAAAAACTACTATTTTGTATTTTTTTCAGTCATGCTATTTTCAAGTTATATTATTTTCTAGATTTGAGAATACAGGTATTTTTTCTTATTTATCTACAGCAACTATGGCATTTATCATGCACAATAATAAATGACTTCCATTCAGCAGTGAACTGTATATTTAGTTTAATTATGAAACAAGTTCCAAATTTATGATCACTCTTAAAGTATAGGGAAAAAACTTTTTTTTTTTAGTTTTTGCAGTCTTTCATAAAGTTCTGTGTATGTGTTAATATTGGGTCCTACACTTGTTTTTAGAAGAAAAAACTCTTCTTTTAGTTCAAATTTTCTCTAAACTGTTCCTCTCCATGTAGACTAAGTTTGAATATTAATCCCATCACATCTGGACAGCAGATGGTTTTCTGTTAGTGGTTATAGTTGCTGCTTCTGACTCAAGGCATATTTAAGAACTTTTTAAATTAGATTGCAATCCTTCATCCAGTGTTTCGAATAAAGTATCATTGAATTCAATAGGATTTATTGTGAATATATCTTTAGGATTGCTTTGTTATGTTTGATACAAAAATAACAATGCTATGTATTTTATTTCTCAGCCCTAAATTTCTTTGGGTGAGGGAATTAACAGCTCCACTTTCTTTTTCTCATATGCAGTAGCAATTACTTCACATTTCATGGTTGCTCACATAATTCTACTGTTAATAGTTTACTACTGGATTATTTTGATTCAGTCTTTTCCAGTTTGATATCTATCCCTTTCAACAAAATTGCTCACTTGCAACGTTTGAAGGTGTTTCTCTAAGGATTGCCCTTTTAACTTAATGAAGAAACTAGTGTACTTTAAGCACTTTAAATTTTTAAACCTTTGATCAGTGGTTTATTTCATTATCATTTTTGTAATTAACTGATTTGTAAGAAATAGCAATTTTCAGGTATTAAAACTGTTCACAATATTTTAGATAAAATTCATTTGAAACTAGAATATTGATCCCACTTTAAAACCTATTTAAAATTCATGCTGCTATGATTAAACCAATATGAAGTTAATTTTTGACACATGAATTCACACTAAAATACTTTAAGAGAAAATTGTGCAGATTGTTGAAAAATGCTGTAATGTATCTACTAGTAATGATTAATCTATATAGCCGAATTCAGCACACCTGCATTTTTGCTGATTATAAGATGAACATAAATATAACAAAAACTAAAATTTATTTTAAATTTTAGTAATAGACACTCATCTACCTGTAACATGGAAGTATCATCTGCACACATACACACACATATGCAGCTATTAGTTTATCTTTCTAGTTGTAACATCTCTATTAAAAACTTAAAATAGTGAAATTATGAAATGCATGATGATGGAATGGCCACATCATGTGATGTCTGCCTAGTAATTTTTCATCCATAAACTTGATCCTAACCTACATACCTTCAGAATCAGAGATTACAGAACGTATGAGAAGTATGAACTTCAGAATGCAGAAAGGAAAGGAACCCATGGACAATACTTTGTAGCATTTTGTTTGTATACCTCCTATGGTTATTTTACTACAGCACGCATTTACTTTCCAGAATTGGGATGCAATGAATGATCTTTCTAATCTCTTTTCCAGCTACTAATGAGTTAAATAATCTCCTATGTGCCTGTCAGATCTCACCCATTTCAACTGGCCAAGGTCGAAATTCTACCACTTCACTGCCTGCTCTAGCTTTGCAGTGCTAAGGAGGTTGCTGTTCCTTTGGGACAGAATCTTTGGAGACAACCATTCAGAGTAACACAGCATTTCGTTCCAGGGCTTCCCGGGCGTGTAAAAAAAGACATTTGAACTCTCCAGCCTTTTCTATTCCCCCTCCTCCAAAAGCCAGCTTTTCTAGCTGCAATCTTTGCGCCCTGTTATTATTGGAGCTCGCTGTAGCGTTTTATGAAGTGGAGAAGCTGAGGTCACAGGAGAGGATTTTTATTCGAGTGCTAAAGACGCAAGGCGGACACCTCTCCCCCCCCTCCCTGTCAGCATGAGGCAGCAGGACGCAAGGTCCCGGCGAGCTGGCCGCTGTGACTTTGGATCCCGATACGCGCTTTTTGCTCACTTTATTTTCCTTTTAACCTGGCGCATCTCAATGGGATTTACCTGCTTAGTGGGCTTTAAAGGGGAGAAGGATTTTCCGGAGAGCGGTTCTCCTCATACAGCCCCGGCTTCAAAGCCATAGATAACAATCACACCAAGGTCCGCGGTGTATCTTTCTGTGGGAAGTTCTCTACCGCACTTCAACTTAGCGGCACGTTTATTTGAATTGGGATAAGTCTCCGTGTAACTCACGCAGTCGCCCCCCCCCACACACACACACCAAGGGCGGACCTCATTTACAATATCATTTTCTGGACGAAAAGCGAGTAGTAGTAACGGCGGCGGCGAAAAATCTTCAGAGCCAGCGGGAGAGATTAGTTGCCAAATCTACGCCCGGGGAAAGGAGCAACCCCGTCCGCCTCAGCGCTTGATGTAAAATGAATAGCGAGCTACCCGATTTGTGGGCATTTTTTTTTTCTAGGAGAGCGCAATTCGAGGACATGTGGAGTAGTATTCCCTCAGCTTCTCCCCCCGGCCCCCCCCCCCCAGCGCCCGTCGCCCTTATTTCCCGTGAAACTTGTAAGGTGCCACCGTTGAATGTGAAGGGGAGCCACGTCCTATTGCATAACAAAAACCGCTTTCTCTCCCCTTCGCCCTCCCCCTTGAAATGTTACGCGCCTCGTATATGCATGCTCATACTTCTCTCCCTGTGAAGTTTTAATTAGGCAGCCATGGTAACTCACTGTTCTCCCGAAGCCTCATTCCGGCATGATGCTGAGGCTTGTGTCAAGGCGCTCTTGATCCTCGGGGAATCTGGGGGGCACCGTCTGCAGTTTCCCCAGAAATTTCGGCTGATCTGTAGCGCGAGGTTGCTTACCTTACAGCGTTTCCTTAGAAATAAGTAAAGGTCAGTGCAGTTCCTTTGCGATGATGCATCTCTACCGGCTCACTTCTGCAAGCTTGCAGAGGAACGAGCCACTCTCTCAAGAGCATCTGCTGCAAGATAACACCAAGGAGATTTTTTTAAAAAAGAAGAAAGAAAAAGAAACAAAAATCTTCCCGGAGACCCCTAACCACTATCAACGCCTGCTTTCTCTCTCTCTCTCTCTCTCTTCTTCCTCCTCGTTAGATTTCGCAGTCCAACATTAATTCATTCGTGAGTCGCGGAGGCAATTCAATGCCAGAGTAACAGCAGAAGCCACGCAGTCCTGGAAATGTCCTCATTTACTGAACTCCCTCCAATGGGATCTCAGATCTGATTAAAAAATAAATAAAACGAGGGCGGAAGGCTGTTGTAGGGAGAAAGGCGGAGAAAAGGCGGGTGGGTGGCGGCGGGGTTGCCGCTTTCGCCAGTCCCGGTTTCAAACCTGGCTCCCAAAGCTGTTCACTTTGAAGCATTTTCTGTCGTTTTCTCCCCACCCCACCCCCACCCTCCCGGTTTCGCAGACCGGGCGCTCGGGGAAGCTGGCTTTCCTCCTACTTTAGGCAATGCACGAGAGGAAGGAGAGCGCGTGCTGCCAGCCTGTCGGTTTGGTGCCGAGCGGGAGTAGAGGCTGTGCGAATGCGCGCGCGCCGCCGCCGCCGCCGCCGCCTCGCGCCGGAAAAAAAGGGACGGGGGGAACTGCCTCTGCTTCTCCGCTAGGGAGAGTTGGCGCCTTCCTCCGACGCCGGCAGACCGCGAGCGGCGGACTTGTTGAGGTTGGGGCAAACAAGGTCCTTCAAGCGACGACTCTTTGGGAGCGGAGAGCCGTCGAAAACAGCCATGCCACACCAGCGACGGCACAAGCGGCACAAAACTCTTGACTCTGATTCCCCCACCCACTCCCCAAAAAACCAGTGTTATTGTCCCAAAGGTGTTTTTTTCTAGAGGCAATTGGACTTTCTGGTTTCGCTTCTCGTGGATTAGAAGCGAAACGTCTTCAAAGAAAAACCAGAAAGTCCAGTTGCTTCTTGAGAAAAAAAAATAAAACACCTTTAGGACAACCATGACCTGGATGACTGAGAATCTCCATAGACAACCTGTGTTATTGTTTGTCGGTAACACAAAATATAACCAAAGTACGTTTTGGGGCTCCGTGGAAATAGGGGCAAGGATCATTTGGGTTCTTGACCAATAAGTATGCAAGGGAATGAACAGTGGAACGGAAAGCAACGGAACCTCTCCACTTAACTGTACTAAAATCTATACACCCGAGTTACGTTTAGTTTTGTATTGTGTCTCCTGGTTCCCTTGTTTATTTCTTGAAATTTTATTTCTGTGCCACTATCCGAAAGCTGCAGAAATTTCCACTCTGGTTGGACCAGTTCCATGTAACTTTTATAAACTGCATTTGGTTTTGCAGGAAATATTGAACTTGTGTGGATGGAAGTAGCATGGACAGCGTATTTTGAATAATTTGGAAGGATTACAATGCACTGCAGTGGTTAAACTCACCAGCGAGATCCAACACTTATGAGATCTTAGGAGGCTTCCCTATTGTGCGTGTTTTGATCTGTTTTTTATACATGACTTAGTCTGCTGACAATTTTTAGACACAAGTGGTTAAATCTCCTGTCCCAGGCCCCCATCCAACTACCAAGTCTTCCTTAACCACATACCGATAGCAACTGATGCCTGTCTTACTGCTAGCAAGTGATTCTCCGTGGTAGGAGAAGCACAGTCAGGAAAATAAACCAATTGTTTTCTTTGTCCCATGTTAGAATTATAATTATCAGAAACTGCCTGGATCAGTCCCCTACAGTTTTCTTGGCAAGGTTTTTCATAAATAGTTTTCCATTGCTTCCTTCCTAGGACTGAGATAAAGTGACTGGCACAAGGTCACCCAGCTGGCTTTGTGCCTAAGGCAGGGCTTGACTTTTGGTAGCCTGATGTCTTAACCCAGGTGTCGGCAACCTGCGGCTCCGGAGCCACATGCGGCTCTTTTGTCCCCCAGCTGTGGCCCCCTGTCGACTGAACCCATCACTGGCTGGCCCTGCCCCTCACTCTCCCCTCCCAGTCACACCTCACCTGGCCTGAGAAGGTAAGGGCAACAGCGGGGGATGGAATGCCATCTTCCCCCATTGTGAAGCACGCTAAATGTATCCCATCCTCCTCCTGGAGCTCATTACGATGCAGAGCATTGGCCGCAGCCAGGCCCAGCCAGTATCTTGGGGTGGAGATCAAGTCGTGCGTCTCTCTGAGCAACCAAGGTGCACGCAGCACCAAGGGCCAGAAGAAGAAGGAGTGATTGGGAGGGGAGGGTGAGGGGTGGGGCCAGCCAACAGAGAGCTACAGCAGTGGGACAAAAGAGCTTTATTTATCTGGGAACCTGAAATGACTCTTGATTTAAATCATGATAAAAAGCACCCAAAGAAGAAGAAAGAACAACATCAGCAAAAAAAAAAACAAAAAAAAAACCCCTCACCTGTTTTTGGAAATGGTTTAAGAGGAAACACACACACACACACATGAGAGAGAGAGAGAGAGATAGAAAGAGAGGGAAAGGGGGAAAGAGGGAGAAAGCATGAGATGGAGAAAGAGACAGAGGGAGAAATAGGGAGGGAGAAAGACAGAGAGAAAGAGGGAGAAAGATGAGAGAGACGGAGACAGAGGGAGACAGGGAGAAAGAGAGAGACAGAGAAAGAGGGAGAAAGAGATGAGAGAGAGGGGTGGAGAAAGAGAGAGAATGCTAGAGAGAAAGAGAGAGAGAGAGACCTGTTTCCCACAGAAAACACCAAGAGCCACAAAACCTGGGTAGGTGTGGCTGGGGGGGGTTGTCATGTGACTGGGTGGAAGTGAGTGACGTTGAGTTGGCCATGCCCACCCAAGTTTTGTGGCTCCCAGTGTTTTCTGTGGGAAGCGGGTCCAAATGGCTCTTTGAGTATTTAAGGTTGCAGACCCCTGTCTTAACCAATACACCAAACTGGCTATCATGTTTTCTTTACTCTTGTGCTAAAACTACTCAGACTTTTCACTGCATCAATCATAACCAGTAAACAGTTTTCCTGCACCATTAAATAGGAAGCAGGAAAAATCCGCCTTTTTTTAGAATGGGAGATCTATGGAATAATTTTTTGGCCTGAACTATTGGTTGACTAATGTTTTCTAAGTGGTTAGTTTTCATGACTTTTATATGAGCACGACTCATAGTTTATGCTAGCTTTGATGCAACCTCCTCATAATTTCTCTGATGATTGCTGTAATATCATGCACTGATCAATTAAATTATGGATGAGTAGGATAACAGCTATCCTATTATAATCTGTTTATTAAATCTCTGCAAAGCATACATTGTCATTATTGCCTCATTCTAGCAATAAGACAAGACAGAGCTATATTTATTTTGCAAGGAACTAAATGATGCAGTCATAAAAGTAGCTGATATCATGGTTCAAAGATATTATGTTAACCTTCAGTGTTTACCATGGGTGAACAATAAAAGAAAGCTTTTTACATTGTCAGTGCTTGAAAATGTTTTCCATTGCAATTATATCATGAATAATTAGTTATCTATTGTCTTCATTTGCAGTCAGGCTGCTAGATCTGAAAAGTGATGTTTAATTTAATTAAAACCTACATTCATATGAAAAAGTAGAGTTAGCAATGTGGTATGTTTGTCCAGAAGGGATTATGCAATTAGTGATAGTTTTAATAGTTAAATTTTAGTATCATAACTCTAACTGTGCAGTGTCAGAATTCAGTTTGTTTATAACCCATCTATACTGATCTATTGTTCATGCATTGCTATATTAGCAGCCATCTTGCTTAATGTACAGGCTAATTTTGTTGGAGTGTTCATTTCCATAGTGAAGAACCTGTGAAGTTACTTAGTTTTGTTTTACTGTGTCATAACTGGAGGCTCACTATACATCATGGACTAACAAGCAAAGATAGCAAATCTCTATTTGGTGACCAATCTCTCTTTCTGTGCATGTGAATGTATCTTAAATTTGGAAACATATAGTTACAACTGGGATACCATATAGCAGGGAATGTTAAACTCACAGCCTGTGGGCTGGATGAGTCATATGCTGGCCATGCCCAAATCCGGTTTAACAAAGGAGGAAAAGTCGCGATACATCATGTGATGACACTGTGATGATGTGAGTTTGACACCCCTGCCATATAGTTTCAAATGGGAATCTAAGCATCCAAGCCAAGTCCAAAAACGCTGGAGAATTCCTTCAGTTTACATACATCTATACACCATTTAAAAGAGACAATCAAAATGCCAAAAAGAAAACAAAAATACCAAAATGCGTCTCACCAGCAATCAACACCAGATGAGTAGAGATTAATATCAAAGAGAAACATTAGACCAACAGTCAAGAAGCAAACAATACTCCAATCAAGAAACTGCCAAAAAAACTGACAGTAAACAACAACCCAATCAAAGGTATCATTCCAATAATGAATCACTCTTGTACTTGTGGAGGTCTAACCTAAAGGCATTAATATCTATGTTTCTGCTATAGATTGATAAGAGTTTTTGTTTGTTTTCTATTTACTTTAAATTAGAAAGCCGTCAAAATCAAATGCTAACAATATATTTTTCTTTCTTACAAATGATGTGCATTTAAATATTATTTTGACCACTTAGTACTTTCCATCTACTACAATTTTAAGTAGCTTTCACAGTTTGGGATGTAATTATAGGCATAAAAATATTATCAAGATTGCTCCAGTTTCACTAGGGCCATTCCAGGGGTGGGTTCTACTTACCTTTACTACTGGTTCGCAACAGAATTATGCATGTGTGCTCGCTTTGCTCGTGTGCATGCCTTGCTTCTGCACATGTGCAGATCGCCGATGATGACATCCAGGGTGGTGGGCGGAGCCTCCCGCTGGTTTTACTACTGGTTCTTGTGAACTGGTCAGAACCGGGGGCAATCCACCACTGGGCTATTCTGATTTCATGTCAAGATTTTTGGCTTTGTTAAATTGGAAGGAGAGAATTTCTTTCAGATATTAACTGTGTTTGGCTGTTCATTTCTGCAATCATCTGGGATCAGCAACTTTATTAGATGTTTTGTTGAAAGTAATTATTTTCATATTACTGAATTGTTGCTGTTAAATAAACTCTTGGTTTGTCTGCTGTGCAAATGTAGTTGCAGTTTCTTGTTTTACATTATTGCAGTCTCCCTGCCTTAGAATTGAGAATAACATGTTATTCTGGATACTTTCCTCAACTGGAGAGAGATAGCTATGATCTAATTCATTCACAGTTAATTATATTGCATTTCAATAAGTTATCAGTAATCTGATTGGTTGATTTCTAACTAGTGTATTAAATACACAGTCAGCATTTGGAATTTTCACTAATTATCAGATATTGTCAGCTTCGGAACAGACTGAATATCTAAAAATCTAATTTAAAATCCTAGCAATAAGACACAAAGCAATTACAGGTAGTCCTCGCTTA